GATGATGATGGACTGTGTGTTGATGAGGACGGGCTAAGTGTTGATGAGGACGGGCTGTGTGTTGATGAGGACAGGCTGTGTGTTGATGAGGACGGGCTAAGTATTGATGAGGACGGGCTGTGTGTTGATGAGGACGGGCTGTGTGTTAATGAGGACGGGCTGTGTATTGATGAGGACGTGCTATATTTTGATGAGGACGGGGTGTGTGTTGATGAGTCCGGGCTGTGTGTTGAAGAGGATGGACGGTGTGTTGATGAGGACAGGCTCTGTTTTGAAGGGGACGTGCTATGTGTTGATGAGGACGGGCTGTGTGTTGATGAGGACGGGCTGTGTGTTGATGAGAACGGGCTGTGTGTTGATGTGGTCAGGCAGTGTGTTGATGAGGACGGGCTAAGTGTTGATGAGGACGGGCTGTGTGTTGATGAGGACGGGCTGTGTGTTGATGAGGACGGGTTGTGTGTTGATGAGGACGGGCTGTGTGTTGATGAGGACGGGCTGTGTGTTGATGAGGACGGGCTGTGTGTTGATGAGGACGGGCTGTGTGTTGATGAGGACGGACTGTGTGTTGACGAGGACGGGCTGTGTGTTGATGAGGACGGGCTGTGTGTTGATGAGGACGGGCTGTGTGTTGATGAGGACGGGATGTGTGTTGATGAGGACGGGCTGTGTGTTGATGAGGACGGGCTGTGTGTTGATGAGGACGGGCTGTGTGTTGATGAGGACGGGTTGTGTGTTGATGAGGACGGATTGTGTGTTGATGAGGACGGGGTGTGTGTTGATGAGGACGGGCTGTGTGTTGATGAGGACGGGCTGTGTGTTGATGAGGACGGGCTGTGTGTTGATGAGGACGGGCTCTGTACTCACCTAATTGTACTCACCTTGTGTGCTTGATGAGGTTGAGCTTTGGCTGATGAGTCCCGCCTCTCAACTGTTGATGAGGACTGGTGTGTGATTGATGAGCCTACTGGGCTCTATCATATCTACATTTGAAACTGTGTATGGAGTCAGCCTCTACCACATCAGTTCCTAGTGCATTCCATTTATTAACTAATCTGACACTGAAAAAAATCTTTCTAACGTCTGTGTGGATGATCTGAGTACTAAGTTTCCACCTGTGTGCCTTGATGAGGACGGTGTTGTGTGTTGATGAAGAGTTTGTCTTTGTCCACCCTGTGTTGATGAGGACGGAATTTGTGTAGGTGGTTATCATGTCGTTGAAGAGGACGTGCTATGTGTTGATGAGGACGGGCTGTGTGATGATGAGGACGGGCTGTGTGTTGATGAGAACGGGCTGTGTGTTGATGAGGACGGCTGTGTGTTGATGAGGACAGGCTAAGTGTTGATGAGGACGGGCTGTGTGTTGATGAGGACGAGCTGTGTGTTGATGCGGGCGGGCTGTTTTTTTATTGAGGACGGGCTGTGTGTTGATGAGGACGGGCTGTGTGTTGATGAGGACGGGCTGTGTGTTGATGAGGACGGGCTGTGTGTTGATGAGGACGGGCTGTGTTTTGATGAGGACGGGCTGTGTGTTGATGAGGACGGGCTGTGTGTTGATGAGGACGGGCTGTGTGTTGATGAGGACGGGCTGTGTGTTGATGAGGACGGGCTGTGTGTTGATGAGGACGGGTTGTGTGTTGATGAGGACGGGCTGTGTGTTGATGAGGACGGGTTTTGTGTTGATGAGGACGGGCTGTGTGTTGATGAGGACGGGCTGTGTGTTGATGAGGACAGGCATTGTGTTGATGAGGTCGGGCTGTTTGTTGATGAGGACGCGCTGTGTGTTGATGAAGACGGGTTGTGTGTTGGTGAGGACGGGTTGTGTGTTGATGAGGACGGGCTGTTAGTTGATGAGGACAGGCTGTGTGTTGATGAGGTCAGGTTACATAACTAATGACGTTCGAAAAGTGCTTCGCTAACGACCTCCGTTCGAATCACATTTCCGTAAATGCTTCACCCACGCACTACAAACACAAATACTTTGCCAGCAGAGCCTAAACAGCGGGCCTAACCTACCTTACGCCTTGATATGCTAATATAGAATATTATTAATAATTTTTTAAGAAAATCGCTATTTTGAATATGCATTATGTAAAATTGACGAATGAGCCTTTGGGGGTTGGTCGCTGGATGGACGAACATTGCCTGAAGACAAGTAGTAATAATAATAAAAAGTGCTTCTGATAACTAGCAATATATTAATGCTAATTCATCAGCAGCTAACGAAATATGGGCAACTCCCTACATATTTCCCACTAAGCATGAAGATCAGTATTATCATAACTAAGAAGTGTTTTTACTGTTTTAATTAACACGTTTTTATGTTGTTAAATTTATTTTCAAGAGCCGTGACTCATCAAGCTTCTGTGACCAAGAGTTACGTGACTCTCCCAACCCAGCACATGCGAGAAGTCACGTGACAATCAGCCAATGATTTCGGAAATAAGTTACGAAAGCCACTTGTATTGGCCAGGATATTAAAGATCCGGATCCAATCAGCAGG